GAGTCCAGACTTTCCTGTGTTCTTCTCAAGAACATACTTGACAAGGACACAAGTCCATACTCACGTTATTATTAATTGAGAAACAGCCAATGCTAGCTGTGGACCACTGAAGATAATTCTGTAGGGCTATGATATTACAGTACAAGTACGTATTACTCCTTTCGTAAAGGAGCAGATACTGGGCCTTCTAATGGGTCAAGGACCTCTGAGGGCAATGTCTAGGTCTCCTTAAGTAACTGCTGGAATCTCCTCCATAGTCTTGAGACAGTGATGGGAGACAGCAAACCTGCAGGAAATGGCAGATACTGATGGACCATTCAGATGGAGTTAGACTGTGCAATCTATGCAAGGTCCAGGTTTCGCCTCATTCTACCAGTAGATACTGTCACCCTGGTCGAATGCAAAAGTACTGAATGGTCAAAAATAAATAAATGCCTCATTGTTTCCCTTTTATTCAGTCCTGACATGACTTTCAACCCCATCATTCGGATAAAAAAAAAATTACTTTATTTTTAAGCAGAGACATAGAGTATAAATGGTTAAGTCCCATAATATCACTGAGCAAGAATGATAATTGAAACCAGCCTATTTTGTCAAGATGAATTTGCAACTTGAAATGCTTTACCTTTACTTCCTCTTGTGGAAATGCATCTGGTTTCACCTGACATTTGATAAGCAATATGAAGGTTAATTATGACAGAGTAAAATGGCTCCTTGACTCTGAAATGCAATGCAAGTGCAGTACATGCAAATGCATGAAATGTGATAAAAATATTTATAGGATTAATCTGTTAAATAAGAATAATCATCTGTAAGTTCGTATAACTGAGGTAATAGTTAATAACAATTAAGTTATATTAAAACATGGCAGCAAATTTTCCTGAAGTTTATAGATTAATTTTTTGATTACTACCCCTTAGCTTTGGTGCTACTTCAAATTGTGGCTAAACACTTTTCTTTACCCGATCAGGATGAAACATTCCTGACATCTTTTACTACAGGATATTTTCATTTAACTTTTATTTCTACGCATCAATTCTTTTTGGTGGTTTCCCATCTCAATAACCAGCTTCCTTCTACCGCCTTGGAACATGATGCATGACTCAGCACTGCTTCATAGTGGCTGCACCATTGACCCTCGTACGATAATGGCCTGCTTTTCCTTACCTTGATTTACAGTCGCCATGTTGGAACCTGTTCCTGCTCCAGATTTATGTCTAGCTCTCCCTCTATCTGTCGTCTGATTGCCTGGCTGCCTGGCTGCCTCCTGCGAGGCGGTGATAGGTGACAGGAAGCAGGGAACCTAAGCAGCCCTGTGAGAATTTAGATTAGTTATTGTTAAGGGATAAATAACAGCTTTAATGAGGCTGAGAGAACTGGATTGGTGGGGCGCCTGCTGTTTGGATAATGTAGAATAACTGATAGTCTGCAAAATACGGCTTTACAATTGTTAAAAATCATTTTTCGTATGTGAAACATGAGAAATACCCAAAGACAAAAGAGATTACCTGGATGCACAGTCAGGGAAGATCTATTTAAAGTTTGTGACAACGTGCACATTCCTGTGAACTATATTAAAACAGGCAGAAATGATAAAGATATTTTAAAATCTGCTAATGTCAGTAATCAAGCTTAAGCCAATTTCCTTTTTGCCACATATTGTATTCTGGAGAGTTGTCTAAATTTTAACTCTACAGTTTGACTTTCAGCAACAATTAGAGAAATCTAGAAATGTTGTCTACCACTGCATTCCAACATTTGGATGCTTCAGATTATCTGGAAAATTCCCTAGAGGGAAATTTGAAGCTCTTTAGGCAATTTTTAGAATGTATCTATCATGTTAACTAAGGACTATTATGGGCCTCTGATACACATGGAAGGAAATCACAGAGCTGTTTTGGCCACTAGTTGTACAATGCTGAGCAACTGGAAAGTATTTACAACACATCAATTCTCTCACATTTAGTTTTGTTACTACCTTATAAAATAGATAAATAAACATGTCTGAACTTCTAAAGTATGTAATATGTGTAAGAGGTTGGTGCCAAGTGACTGGGATTGGCTTAAGAAAAAAAACTCATTGAGTGCCTACAGATACTTTGACCTCTTTGAAAGAGGCTCCTATGCTATAAATTGCATTTTTCTCAGACGTGCAAAAATACTTTGTATAAATGTTTGATGTAGGTAAATGGAGCTCATAGAAAAGCAGCACCAATCATAGTTGGTAGGATTCAGCTCACAGAGTGCTACAAGATAAAGCAGCACACTACAACCCGAGCTGTTAGTGTAAGCTCTTTTGGGTTTTAGCTCTTATTTTGAGAAAAAGTAATAGACTGTCAGCATGAACTTTCTGTAGCCATTTAAACACAATACCTGCCATCATATTGCTGACTGTTTAAAGTGGAAAATAAAAACAGCAATGCTGCTGACTCTTATTCCCGCCTCCAAACCTGTTCCGTTTTACAGCCATGGACACCAAATGGCCACAGCCAGCTTTCCTTGCTTGCTGTTCTGCCAGCTGTCCTTCTGTTCATATCAACATGAAACATTACTGCTGGTGAAATTTGAGATGCTGAAGCTTTTACAATAAAGATTAACATGATTGGTATGTTTACTTGCAGATGCCTTTGTTAAGGATCCACAGGTGGTGAAATGTGTCTTGAATGTGCTTTCCAGATTTCTGCAGCCCATCATCAATAATCCTTTGAGTAATCCACTCTAATCCCAAAATATTCTTACCTCACCTTTTAACAGTTAAAGAAGATCTGAACATGTTCACTTGGAATATGATTCCACCAATTAACACATGAGTTTGTCTGACATGGTGAGATATTTGTGAAATTAAAAGGAAGGCCTTCCTGAGCATGCAGCTGGAAGCGTGCATTAAAAATATCTGCCACTGACTGCTCTCCTGGCTCTTACCTTGATTAAATATGTATGGCTTTACTATCTTCATCTCTCTTGCTGTATCACCAACATCTACTACAAATAGGCACAATGAAAGGGAGGAAATTGTCAGAGGAAATAGGTCAAGATGGTGAAGAACATGACAGAGCTGCAAGGAGGGGAACTAAATCCAGCTGTTCAGGGAGACAGATAATCTACCTGTGTTAGACTCTTAAGATATCTTTTTTTTAGAGAAAACTGCCAGATTTACATCATATGCATTTTTAACTCACAATGTTGGATTGTCTTAACTTTCAGAGAAATAACGGTTTAACACCTTACATTTTGTTCTACAGTCTAGATCTACAGTATTGTTCACTTTTTCACTTATGAATTTTTTTACTTATGATTTAGATTTTCTTGTGTTTTAAAGTGGTCTTGGATAGTAATTGTCCAATCTTTCGTTTATAATGCATTCTTTGAACTTTATCTGTTTTCACTTGCTTTATACAGTATGTGACTTACTGTATAAAGTGAGAAAAATGGGACAACACAAAGTCTAGCAGTTAAACGCTCTGGCGCCCATGGTAACCAGTGGAGGGGAAGGAACAGTAATATGCAGAGAGGAAGAAGATCAGTGGGAACAAGATGGATCAGCAGTGTGGACCATTGCAGATAAACATAGTTGTGAATGGCCTAATATGCAAAAAAAAGAATTTTAATCATAATTCTGAAATCGATGGGAAGCCAGTGAAGCTGTTTTAGGGCAGGGGTGATGTGATTAGAGGAGGGTGTTGTGGTGAATTCTGGACCAGTTGACATTTAATGTTCAAAGTGTTTGTTTTTTACATTTTCCTTGAAATTGTCAACAGTTAGTTGGTCCGGGTTTTAAATCTCAACTCAAATGATGCTGAACTCATAGTGGTAACTAAGACAATCAGTCATAATTTAACAAAAAGAAGCAATCAGGCTTGGTGGCTCAGTAGTTAGAGAGCAAGATATCAGGAACTATAGTCCTGAATGTCGTTGTCATCTTTATGATTCTAAAGCTCTTCCCCTTCTCTCTCAAGCCTCTATCCTGTAAAATGACAGGTCAATATAGATTAAGAAAAACCTATGATTCATTTACGTGTGTTAATATATAGGACGATATCCAGGCTTTTGGTTCTATTCAATGTGCAATTCAAAACATTGCATAAGGTTACCAGGGACAGTTCTAAACAGAGCTTCACAGAGTTCATTACATTATGAAAATATCTGAAATGCGCTGAAAGGTTTTCAAGTTTTAGTTTAAGACAAAAAGGTAAAATTCCGTTTTGAAGAATTATTTTATTCTGCTGATTCCTGGTTAAGAGTGATGATGAATGAAGTTAAATCTCAAACAATGCTAAAGGTTTATAAAATCACAAAGGAATTTGGGATATTTCCAACAAAAACCCAGCTCTCTTCTCCTCGAAGTAAATGGATGTCTAACATGTGGGAGCTGCTCAGTTTTAACTAAATTAATATCTAATGCATACCAAATCAACCACCATCTGCTTGTGTTCAGACATTAACACCATCGCATGCCCAATTAGTCCATGCTCCGAACATTTAATGCATCTCAAGTCGATTACTGTCCATTTTAGGCTGCAGCTATGTTGCTTCTAAGAGGACAAAGTAAAAAAGAAACTCCCAGTTTGATGCGGTGTCAAATGCCAACAAATGCTGTTCCAAAGCTCAACGTTTGATATAAAATGTTTGATATTGATTGTTCTGTAAGAGTCTTGGGTTCACAAAAACATCACAAGTGTGTCTTTCAATTCAACTAACTGGATGGTGAATAAAATAGCTTTTTAGCAAATGTTGAATTTATTTCAATGATGAATGAGTTGCACAAAGCTATATTACTTGTCTTTGTTCTAAATTTCATAAAAATTGACATACACTCTTTAATCTCCTGACTGCTGAAGCCTTTTAGATTGTAAAGCAGATGCAAATGTTTCTGCAAACTGCCGACCATTTGCATTGAGTGAAAAGTGTTTGAACAGTTGCATGACATTAATCATGCAAGTAAAAAGTGTGTTTCTAACGCTGGTTTCTTTGCTTGTTTTCTCTGTCTCCTTTTATTGCAGGGGTCAGCAAGACTATACCAGGTGAGTTAAAAGGGAAACCTTATCAAATAATTGAAAACAGAAGATATTGTGCAGTTCCCCATTTATAAACAAAAATCATTGGGTTTCTTTTTGGAGATCCACAGCTTTATCATAATCCTAAAATGGGAAACATTTTTTATTTTTAGTTGGAACTGGGTTGAAACTTATTATTTTGGACTTCTATCTGAAAAAAGCTGAGTTGTCTTTTTCTGGAAATTGGAATTAAAGACCTACAGTATATGTCTAGCATATACATTTACAAACCTAGGTTTCCAATCACCACGATCTTGATACAATAGTTCCTTTTCTGTTTTTTAGATTCATATGAGCCAAAGATTTTCCAGGCTAAACTCATCTATACAACATAAAGCTGGAATAAATCCAAAATACACTATCCGAGTTTACATTTGTTCATGATTTTATCTCATTATACAGGCATACAGGCTCATATTTATACATCCATGCCTTAAAGGCTGATGAGGGCTCTAGAAAATATTTTAACTTAACAAAGACTAGGTCTGTTAACGTTTAATCAATAATTATGTGCAGTTTCCAGCATAAAATGAATATTAATTTTTTATAACAACACAATTACTATGTTAAGACCACTGAAGGGAATTCCTAAGTTTTCACAAGCTGCAAAGCTAATTTGTAGTCATTTCTAAACAATTGCAGATTTATCAACAACGCTACAAAAGTACCACTTCTTTACATGTTACACACAAAATGTTATCCCTCTTAAATAAAAGCAAAGTCGAGTATGGAATCCCTTTTTTGACGCCATTAACTAAAGGGTCAAAAGAAAATTCCCATATCCTTAAACATACATCTTAATGCTAGACTTACATGTGGAGTTTCCCATGCAGGAAAGTCAGATGTCTTCTAGGAATAAAAGCATTTTATAAATAGAACAGATAAAGATAGCCATTAGCCCAAAATAACAAAAAGAATGTTTGACACCCTGAGATCTGAGAATATGTATCAAGTGTCATGCATGGCAGAGGTAATGTCATACTATGGGCCCTATTTCCTGTCCTGTTCCACAAAGTGGATGGAATAATCATGAAACAGAACGTATCCAACGTCTTTATATCCCACCTAGATCATCAGTTGGATGTTTGAAACTCAATGATAATGATCCTAAAGTGATTTTGAAATGAATAAAGCAGGTGAATATTTAGCCTTTAAAATGGCTTCCTTCACAAGCATTTTGATATCATTCTTATTAGGCTTTAGGTTTGTGCTCCATAACCAACCAATTCAAATGAGTGATTAAACAACATGATAGGGGTTAAAACAAATAGTGCCCTATGATGAAAATCAGAAACCTTTACCTGCAGCTGTGCACATTTGCCATTTTAAGATTCATTACCATTTCATATGTTAAAAAATAATAATTCAGTCTGTAAGAGATGTTTTTTTGTAGAAACTAACCAGTAGAAGTTCTGACCATAAAGACAAACATATAAAGGTCCTTATCCAGGCAGTGTTCACTGTTTGAAGACATTCGCCATTTTCTTACTTCAAGATAAAGGCACTGTTAAAAACTTGTTTTTTTACCCCCTAAAATCCTACATTCACAGCAGATATCAGTTGGTTCATCAGGTCAGTTCTGATTCTGACTTCCCAGTTTAAGTGTTTTCTAAAAGTGTGAGTTTTTCCACTGAAGCTTCCTTCTCAGAGACGGAAGCTTTTAACTTTGATTGTGTTTGGATGTTATGCTTTCCCTTCTGAAAGCATGTTTCATCCCAATACCAAAGAGTATTGAAGTTGCGTGTTCCTTTTCTCTCTTACACTTCCTTTTCTTTTCCTCTAAAGGCCTAGCACACATGATGGCAGAACAAGGTACGCCCACTTTACCTCTCTATAAAATGTACTTTGTTTGTGTTTCTGGTGTGGAGCTGCATGTTTTGGTTAGAACTGTGTATGGAAGTGCATGGTTCTGTACACAGAGACTATGCATGCATGTGTAAGATGTGTCATAAGAAAGAATCCAATGGGGATTGTTCTCTGTTCAGCCAAATCCGCAGTCTTCCGATGGATTGATCTACTACAAAATAATCACAACTATTGCACTCAAAAGGTTATATTATTTAATTATTCTTATTTTTCTTAGTTCATGCATTTTTAAAAAGTGGCTTTTAAAGATGCAAAGAATATTTGGGTTACATTTAAATGCAAACAATATTAAAGACAAAATGAATCTCAAAATGAATTTATTTCCATCTAAAACTAACACTAAATAGATTAATTTAATTCTATTTATATTTGTTATGAAGTTAAGTGTAAACATTTTACTAGAAGAGATGTCTTTTAGATTTAGATTAATAAAACAAGGGAATTGATTTAAAATTTATCCTTAAAAAAGATTAATTTAAATTCTGATGGCATTTTAAGATAGAGCATGGTTAAAGCATAGTGAAATTCATTTGAGGAATTGTTTTAAATTGTCAGGGATAGATTTTTTTTTACTTTATCACTTCAAATATTACTTGTATTTTCTTTTCTAGTGCATGCTTAGATGAAAACCCAACAGAGGCAAAAATCTTCTTTTTCCTGTCTTTGCAGCTTCTTTTATGGTGGCTGTTTATTTTCTTCGCCAATCTCTTCATTTGAGTGTTGCTTGTCCAACATCAATCCAATAGCTTTGACTAACAATTTAAAGATGGCATTTGCCCCAGTAAAGGTAGCTCCTAAAATTTTCCATGTCTATTTAGGCAAATGATTCCCTTCTGTATCATACATCAAGATAGGTTTGTAGAATCTGTAGTAAACCGTGTCAGTTTTTAAATGTTAGAAGTACCTGCTAAATTCCAGACAAGCTCTAACTCACCTTTAGTTTAACTTTGTTCTCCTAGTGGTCTGGTTTGCTTTAAAGGAACCAAAGCAGAATCCATCCATCTATTGTTTTCTGTCTGGTGCAACTGCCCCATGAGGGAAATACAACAGTCCTCATTTCTTGTAAGAGGATTCCAAATTGTTCTCGGACTCGAATAGAAAATATCCCTCCATCCATCTTTGGTCTGCCCATGCATATTCTCCCTATGAGGGTTGCATGGAAAACCTCTAAAGGAAGCCATTTAGGATGCATCCTGATCGGATGGTGAAGATAGATCAGCTGAGTTGTTCTGATGCAGATACTGTATGTAGAATTTTTACTCTATGTTCCCCTATGGAAAACTGAGTTCTTTATCCTATTTCTAAGGCGTAACCATGGCCATAGATGATAGTTTGACCCAATAAGGGAACAGAAAATGTACAGATTCGCTTTAAGACTAATGTATACAAGATCAAGTGTCATATTACTACAGACAGGATCCTAATTGGTGCCTTTATGTCCTGCTACACCTTATAATCCCTTGTGAGGAAAAAGCCCATAAAGTTCTTTGGGAGTAACTGCTTCTTTGGATATTCTTTCCTGTTTTGTGGAGAAGTTTGAAGCAAACTTTAGTTCTCAGATAACCTCACCTTTGACTCTAAATAATTTTTGAATTGATTTCATTGTTGACTTAGTCCCAATTCTGCTCATTAAACAGAACCAAGGCAAATCCCCGGAGTTTAGTGCATTCAAAAATATCTTTTCATCATCAGTGATGAATATTAGAATAGCTCAGTTTGTGTTTTGGTGCTGAATGTTTGCCAACCACCATACAACTGATTTGGACTCAAAAGATTAGAAAAACATGCATGCAAGAGAGTGCATGCTCCTGTGGGCTCTCTGTCTTTTGACCCTCTTATGACTTTACCAAACCTCTCTAGTCTTAGTATTCTGATTTTGCATGTAAAAGTAGTAAAGAAAGTTCATATCTTAGAATAGCTGGATGCAGATTAATCAAGTTAAATTAAATTAATAAAAAAAAGAAGAGGTTGCTTTATCAAATCCATCAGGGCATGTGAACTACCATTAATTTCCATCGGTTTCAGTGTGCAGAAAGTTAAGTGGTACCTTAAACTAGCACTTCTTAGATCTGTGAAAGGAATGTTTGCAGGACACTTTTAATACAAAATAAATAAATAAAACTGCTTCTTGCAAATGTTTCATTTTTTTATCTCTTAAAAAGAAATACATCATTTAGAGGAAAATCTCTAAATGTCCAAACAGGCTCCTATGTGACTGGAGTGTCCTCACAGAATCAAATATCTAATTTGAAACACCTTAGTTTTGCTTATTTACTGTCAAAAACGGTAAAGATGAATGGTGCAGAACCCAATTCAGTAGTTAATATTTGAAATGTAAGCCAAATGTGTTGAAAAATAGAGATATGTCATTAGAAAGTGTTTAGTGAAAAGGTCAAATTGAACTTGAGCTGTTTTTAACCAACAAGGACCTAAGGAGTTTTTTTTGGTTTTTTGTTTGTTGGTTGTAGTTTTTTTTTTCTTTTCATTTGTTGCTGTAGAAAGATCTAAGGAAAACAAGGATTATGATAAATGACAAATTAATGTCATTTAAAGTCCACTGCAGAACAGAGTACCTGCATGTGTTTGTGTCGCTTCTATGCTGCTCAAGTTAAACAAAACATTTTTTTTTTCTAATTTGGTCATCAGTTCTGTGATTCCTACTCTATGATTCCTTTTGGCCTGCTGTGTTTGTATGTTTAAAATCAGGATCCTCTGTGTTTTACCCATGAATTTACTCTTCGTCCTCTTCTTCCTCCCTGCCTGGCCTGTATCGGCTGTGGACTCTCTGTTCCTCTCCCTCCTCCTCATCCTGCTGCTGCTCTTCTAGCTAAAAGCAAAGGTACAGCCTTTTCAAAATCTTTCCTTTTCCGCCTGTATGAAAAGCGCCGATTGCTCTGTGAGTGTTTGAGTGGAACGTGTTTGATGTTTTAATGTGTTTACTTGTCTGTGGTCTGTAATGCTTTCTCACTGAGGGTGCTTGTGTTAAGTGAGTAATTAAGCCAGCAGCAAATGAAAGTGGGAGAAAAGAGACTGGCGTTGTGTGTGCTGTGTGTGTTTTAGCGTGTTTCATGATTTGTTTAAAGACTTGAAGTGTGCGCAGGAAGGCTGCACAGCGGATCAGTTTTCAGAAAAAAAACCTCTCCAGATCTTCTCTCTGCAACACATATGTCCACCCAGCTGTATTTATAAGATGCTCACATTTTTCTTCTGTCAAAAACCTGTCTGGGAATTTATTCTGAGATTTTAGGCTAAATAATCTTGGTCACTGCACATGTTATTTTAGGTTCTAATGATATGAATTTAATACTTAATGTAAACTGCATCCAGAGAGACTCCAGAAAGAAGAAATAGCGCTTCAACCGGTAAATTCCAGCAAACAAGTGTGTTTCAGGGTATTCAGGATATCCATCCCCATCATTCTAGGAATATTTGTTACAAAAATTTTTGTAAACAACTCTCAGTTCAATCCCTCCTATTTAGTGTGATGTCCAATTCTCATGTAGAGATCTTTCCCCTTAAATCTTAGATCTCATTTCCTGTCCTGGGAAATCAAAGTGAAAGAGACTCATAATTTTAGCCATTTCAGTTGAGTTTATTTATATAGAGCCAATTCTCAACAGGTAATCTCAAGTCAATTAAAATAGACAATTCAACCATACAGTCATACAGTTAAACTTATTCAAAGTTTTCTATCTAAGGAAACCAGTTGATTTCATCGACTCATTGACTCGAAGGCAATCACTCATACCAAGCATGCTTGTAGCAACAGTGGAGAGGAAAACCTCCCTTTTAATAGGAAGAAACCGCCAGCAGAACCAGGCTCAGTGTGAGTGGCCATCTCCCGAGTCTGACTGGGGTTCAAGGAGACAGAAGCAGACATAGAAAAAGAAGCAGAGATACTAAAGACACTAACTCTGATATAGTAGGTAATAAACTAATTCAATTAATTTGGGATAAAGAACACATTTTTGTTAAAGTCTCCTCCTTCAAGCAAGGAGTCTAAATAGATTTAGGCTTCACAGGGACATTATCCATTTTCCTGGTGTTGACACGACTCTGATATCAGCATTATGGTCAAGCAGATGTGTACATTTGATTTCTTTTTTTATTGTCAATTAAGACAACATTAAAATATTGTCACCTGCTGAAAATAAGAAGAATGGCTTCCTGGGATCCTGATTTGACAGAGGAATCCTAACTGTCCAAATGGTGAAGCTAACGCATAAGTGCCGTTTTTTTTAACCTCCATCTTAAATATGATAAGGATTTAATTAAAATGAACTCAAAATTTGTTGTAGAGTTTATTTCTTTTCACGACTAGCTTTTAGTCAGTTAAAATTGCAATATTTCCCTAACCTCTATCAAGACCTTGCTTTCTGACTGATATCATCTGTATGTTGACTAAAACATCAGCTTAGAAACATTCTAGATCTTATCTCCCATGGGGGGGTCAGTATATTTTTATGAGATATAAGCTATCTTGGAACATTTTGTTATTTAAAATCATTGATTTTAAAGCTCCCTCTCCAAAAAGTAGGCAATTATCAGCAGGTTAAAATCCTATTCATATACCTGCAACAGTTTGACAGCTTACTGCTGCCTTTATGGCACCTTGTGTTGTCCTGATTATTTCTTTGCAGCCTTTTATGGGTCTTACCAGGATATTTAGGGTTCACTCACCTTTTTTGTGTGTAAAATATTCAGATTCAAAGCTGAGGCTTGTATAAATTATGTCACCCATGGACAGTTGAAGAACATATGACCTTTATTATTTGAGGGATTGGATTATTGAGAGGCAATTTTGCTCAGTATCTGTCTCCTAAAGAGGCAAAATTAGTTTTTGTCTGACATAATTTGGTGCAGTGATAATGTCCAAGGGTGCTAAAGGCTGCTATTAAAAAGAATCAGCTCTGTTATTAATGTATCAACCCCTGTTCTTTTTGACAGACCATTCTTTATGTGGAATAATTTACTTTCCCTTTTCACAGACAAAGTTGCATCTCTAAGATGTGACAACTGTACTGTAGATTTGTTGCTTTTGTACCAAATGAACCACCTTTTTATTTTTCCTTAGTGTTTTTCTGATTTTCTCCTTAAGCCCTTTGATCTCTATTTTTGGATACGATGGAAATACCTCTGTAAATCAAAGTAAAGAATTATTCCTTGACCAATGTTAAAAAAGTAAACTTTATAAAGTTGTAAAAATATAGTTTGGAGTGCTGATAGACTAACCTCAGTTTTCCTGCTCTGAAGCTTTAAGCCTCATTCTGTGTAGCTGAGTGTTTAATGAAAGATGTTTGTTCTGCAATGCATATCAGCAGCTGGTAATCTAGTCCTGACCAACCCACTTATTAACATTATGCAGACCGATTCAGTGTCTGAAAGGGACCTGTCTCATTGCTGCCAGAACAATGTAAAGCTATCTCTCTTTAACTTTAATTAGAATTTTCTTTTTTCAGCTAAGAGGAACTTGTAAATATAAAAAGAAATTCACCTGAGATGGGCGCCTTGAGGAACCCCATATGTATAAATTACCTAAAGTTGTACCACTTTGACTGAAATTGTTGTCTTTTATCAAGTCATATCCTTTCCAATGCAATTTGAAAGCAACTTTTCAGAGTAGAAAAACATAGAGGTGCAATGACCTGGTTGCACATGTATGCACACCTAAAACATTTTAATGCACCTTTGATTTCAGCATTCAGTCATCTGTGGATTAAATCTGTCAGCATCCCATATTTTTTGCAATATTTTCCTTGTAAATCTGCCCCAAATTTATCAGACTTTGAAGTCATCTTAGGTCAACATCTCTCTTGGTGAATCCACAAGTCTTCTGTTGAACATAGTGAGCTCAACGTTACCTGTGGCAGTTGGTGCCATATTGACAAACGTTACTGCATAGTTGAGTGAAGATGTTGTGTCCCGTGTCTTTGTAAGTTACAAAAGAGGGTGAGTAAATGTAATACAAAATCTTAAGTATTAAAACATATTTTTAAAGCGTATATGAACAGGCTACCTATGGATATTTGTTCTCCATGTCAGGACATTGCCATAGATGCAGTTTATTACTACATGTGTTTCTAAGCAAATTATCCTTTTTTAAAACTAAACTTTTAGTATTTTAAAAATTAGTGTTTTTATTTATTTGATACAAGCATCTCAAGTAGAGGTAGCAGTAGACTTTTTCATCGTACTCTTGTCAACGAAAAGGTCAATAAAAAATGTAGTCGTAATCTATATTTACCCATAATCTTTTTATTTTATTTTATTTTTTTAATTAATATGCAGGCTCAAATACATACTACGATTAATACTTGCATGAGTACTTGCATGAAAATTTGGCCTGAAATCCTATTATCATAATAATATTTGCATAATAATTAAATTTGCAGAGGACTTTTTCCTTAACAGTGATGACCTCTCGCCAATGTTTTTTTTTTTGCCTCTTTGGTGGCTGTATCCATGTTCATATACCACACTAGAGACTGAAATAACAAGCTCTACTTCAACAAAAGTTTTGCATATATTTCTTTACAATAATATTTTGGTTAAAAAAAACAGAGATGTTCTTCGCTTCAGTCTAAAAAAAAAATGCATGGACTTCAATTGCAATTGAAACATAAGTTACACTAGCTCTAGTGAAAGTAAAGGATTCTGGTCTATTTTGTTTTCCAAATCACTGTATTGGGTAGCCTGGAAATGTTTGTTGGAACACAACCTGTGTTGTAGAAAAGGTTCTCAGTGCTTTGTGTATGAAACATTGAAGCCTCTTTCCTTTCAGCCTGTGATTTTTTTTGTACACTCAAAATGGCTGCCCTCATACATAAGTCCAATGCTTACATGTGGAGATTTCTGCTCCTGGAGATTTTCAGTCCTCTGCCTCCTCTCCACTTTTCCTCTACCTTGTTGCAGTGTCTAATCCCTCAGTGAGATGATTGCCATTATTAGGTAGTGCACACAGACAGACATAAGCTATCGGTTGTTGCCTGTTTGGCACACAAGAGCCTCTTCTCTGACTGTTTGCATGCCAGCTCACTAGTTGCAGAAGAAAATATACAGAAAAAATCTGATCATTAGAAATTGTCTGTTTGCTTTATAAGGATAAAATGTTACTCTGTAATCAAGATGATTTCTCTATATTCACTTTTAGTTTTATCCTTGTATTTGTTTTTTTCCCTATCTGCTGGTGTTTCTCCTCTTTTCTGCTTCTTAACTATTTTTCCTCGTCATTTCCTACTTAACTTGCAGATCCTTTCTACGCCTTTCTTTCACCTTCATAAGTTACTTTAATCAGTCCCATTTTTGTCCCTGCTCAGTTTGATTAGCTCCATTTTCAGTTGATTGTTGGTGTCGTATCACCTCCCTCTGGTTTAAACACACCATCAGTATGAGTCAAATGAACCAGATCAGCACAACTTTTTTATTTTTTTTTATTGAACAGCATATTTTTCTTCAAACCGTGAATTATTTCCATATAAAAGTATTGTAGCTTTATTTAGCTGTAAAGGTAGTTTGGTCCAGTTATATATAATTTAAATTTATACACCACTAACTTACTCTGGTTGCATACAAGGTTACATGTTTCTTCCTGTTGGCATGTTATATTTTATTTTTTAACTAAACCAATGGAGGTAAGATACTGCGCATAAATAAGGCACTAATGAGCTAAGCCAGTTGGAACCTTCTTGCCGAGTTTTGAGAATAATCAAGGAAAGGTCCAAGATCCAGTTAACAATAATAATTAAAAAAATATTTGTTATCCAAGCGGGATAAGACTCCATGATATATATTAAGAATCAATGTCCTTATCAATACTATTCAAGTGATAACAATGATTTC